GTGTCCAAACCACTGTCCCTCCTCTGGACGTGTCCAAACCACTGTCCGTCCTCTGGACGTGTCCAAACCACTGTCCCTCCTCTGGACGTGTCCAAACCACTGTCCCTCCTCTGGACGTGTCCAAACCACTGTCCCTCCTCTGGACATGTCCAAACCACTGTCCCTCCTCTGGACGTGTCCAAACCACTGTTCCTCCTCTGGACATGTCCAAACCACTGTCCCTCCTCTGGACGTGTCCAAACCATCTCAGCGTGTCCTCTCTAACTTTATCTCCAGTTGTTCAACATGTGCTGTACCTCTGATGATCTCATTCCTGATCTTCTCAATCCTTGTCTCTCCTAAGGAGAACCTTCCTGACACAACCCTCACCATTCACCCGGGTCTGGGACCGGCACAAGTGATGGCTTGCGCTCCGTGGTGGCTGGTTTTACCTTTGCCAACATAAAAATGGATTTATTTAGTCAGAATTACAAATAATGAGTTTAGGTGATAGTAGGTTAGTGTCATCCTCAACAGATGTGGCTGTGGTGGCCATCTTGAATTTGAAGAGAAGGATGGGTGACATGCCTACATTCAAGGAATGGTAGGTCTTTAATTAAATCTATGTATAAGGTAAAGACCTCTTGATGTTCTGCATTAATTAAACTCATTAGTTACATCTCAATAACATCTGTTGTTACAGAATGGTATCTGACAAAGACAAGTGCTTCTCTGTTCCCCCTTTTTGTTGTTTTTTAATGATCTGTTGGCTTATTGAAGTGACGCACCAGCAGGACGACATATTGATCGTGGAGCGGTGGCCTTCACCTTACATGAAGCCCTGATGAACAACAGAGGGAATCTGGCCCCCAGCCTCACCAAATAGAATAAAGAAATGTCACTCAGGATGGAGGATCAATATGAAGCCGATGACAATTAGATTTACCAACATGGCTTTATTCTGAAAGGGAGCACTAGTAAACCAGCAGCTCTTCAGTCCTCTGCAGCGCCATGACACTTGTTTCAATATGTGCACACACGTGCTCCTGTTTAAACAGGTGATTATATTTATTGGACTGATTTAGTTTTGAATTCACTGACGCATGAAACATTTAGAATAAGTTGCAGATCTATTAATTTCTGAGCATTTCACTCGGATCTCACTGTTTCAAGAGATATTTAGCTAACGGAGCACACCCAGACATGGACAAACATAATGATTCCACCTTTGCCTTCTTACAGGTGATGAGGCAAACAAACCTTCAACTACACGCACAAGTTAGAACAATAGAAGAATGAACAATATAGTGAGTGTATGATGAAAGGACTGAAGAAAACACTAGGTGGTGGAAAATTAAACTGTACAAACAGAAAAAATGTTCAGAATTGGAACATGAATTACATAAACAAAGAGAGAAAAGGTATGTTTAAATAAATGTATCATCATAATTCAGTTGTGCTCCAGAGACAGTTTGATTTTGGTCTCAGCTCCTCAGGAGGACCACACGGATCCACACAGTCCTCATGTAACGGTGCCATAATGACATGTTGTGTTCTGCACCAGGATTCAGACACTCCAGCTGCTATTTATAGCACGGAGGGACAAAAGTGGGGTAGAATTGATGTTTGTGCTCTGGACAAATGGGTGGAGTGCCACAGATTTTACTGTTCCATAATTTAGACTGAGCCCTAAAAGTTGTAAAGCAGATTTATATGGTGGCTGTTTTTTAACACCCATTTACTGTTTTATGAACAACGCTGTTGGATGATAATGTCCAGGAGCAACGATAAACAACGCTGCCCAGAGCCACTTAGATCGTTTGAAGCTATTAAAACCCGGCATAGTCCATAGAAGTGTTCAATCAAGGAATCAAAGCCTCTTCCACAATCTTTAATCGTTAGTCATACCAGTTTTACGTCAAGCTTTTCTGCTGGACAGAAACCAACCACGGAGCAAAGGGAGAATATTCAGCGCCTACACATTAACATTTCATCTGGAAATTTAATAATAATAGTCTGCCCACATTTAAGGTACAAACAAACATTTGCATCTTTGTTTCCTTTAATCAGTGTCAGGCGCTGAAAGTGTGTTGTGTGGAGCACATGCCCTGCAGTCACCTTCTATCAGTCCCATGTGAGCGACACATCAATACTTCAGCTGTTCCAGCACCGATGTAAACAGCCAGCTGACCGGCACCGCCAGCCTGCAGGCAGCACTACGACACATGGTGCTGGTACAACGGGCCGCCTTTTCCTCAACGCTCCGCTCGTGTCACTGCTGCGCGAGCTGTTCACGCTGAGGCTCCCTGTTTGTTTCAGAGGAGAAGAAGCCGATGAAAAGTGGTTGTCTTGGAGATGTTGAGCTTGCTCCAGGACATAAACTCACAAGGCACTTGTAAGGTGACTGTTTGCAGTAAATGCTTTTCAAGTTGCATAAGTCACGTGTCACAAGTGTTCTTTGTGATTCTTATATAAAATTTGAGTTTGTTCCTCACTGTGGTGCGTCTCCAATTTGTAGCCAACAATCTGGAGCAAGAAAGATGCAGGTTTCACCGTGTTAATTACTTTGCTGTTGTTTTCTGCAGGAAACAAACGGCCCTGAAGCTCAGTCACATGAAGAGTGAGCTGAAACCCAAAAGTCAATAATAATCTAGTCAGCGGGCCTCATTTACTATTATCTTCCTATGACCGCAGAATTGTTTGCTGCTGTGTTTTTATAACAATGAACTCCATGTACTTGTAAACTGAAAGCATGTGTTACTTGTTGCTGACTAGATTAGATAAATGAGCCGTCATGCAGCTGCAGGGTCATCTGCTCACAAAGAAGTTCAGGCAAGAATCTCAAATAAGGAGCAGTGGAGCAAACTGCTGCTAAATGAGCTTCTTCATTTGGTTTATAAAAGAAGATGTTCGTCTCTGCAGGAGCTGGACAGGAAGTTTCCTCTTCAGTTTTATAAAAAAGGTCAAGAAAACCAAGAGTGAAACCCAAACATGGAAAGTGAAAGGTTTGAAAAGGACAAAACCAAAAACACACGAGAAACAGCGGCTCAGTTTGTTACAACTTGTGGAATTGTTGGTGGAGAACCTCACTGCTGCAGGATTCATGCTTCTCTGACTTTTCAGTGTCCGAACCACAAAATAGCTGCAGAACCGTGAGTCCAACTTTGATTAAAGCATGCAAACCTTAAAAAGATGTCAATTGAAAAAGATTGTAACGACCAAGAAACACCAAGAAACTATGGTACTTAATTGACTGATAACAGCACATTCTATTTCCCATAACCATCCTGTCAAAAACATAATTAACAATTATTTCTTTACTTAATTTTGTTTCTATAAATTGTGTCAAGAACTTGATGTTTTGAAATCACAAGCAGCTTCTTGTTTGAGCTGCAAACTCTCAGACCTGTTTAAACACGTCTTTATGATGAAATGTGCACGCTGAGTGAGACAAAGTGATTTTTGAAGTCTTAGTGGAGTCACAGGATGTTTGTCCGATGGTTGCAGGCCTTTCAGATGTTTGCAGGGTGCAGTCAGCAGCAGCAGTTTTTATTGTGCGAGTACTGTCACGGATCAAACGAGGTTAAACCCAAGAATGCAGACTGACATGAGGAGCTAAAAAAAACACTTTATTTTGAAGCAAAACAAAAAGCTGACATGTCAGAAAAACTTACATGAACTAAAAATAAGCAGGAGATGCAAGGAAGCACAAGAAAACTGGTGTCTGAGGCGAGCTGAGGGGCTGATGGGTGGAGAGGCTGCAGCTGAGACTGCTGCAACACACCTGGACAGGTGGACACGGGCGTGACAGGACGACTCAGGGAGAAGTGACATGGACCATCCATACATACATACATCACAGGGACACCTGGACAGGTCTCCAGTCCATCACAGAGACACCTGGACAGGTCTCCAGTCCATCACAGAGACACCTGGACAGGTCTCCAGTCCATCACAGGGACACAGGTCTCCAGTCCATCACAGGGACGCCTGGACAGGTCTCCAGTCCATCACAGGGACACCTGGACAGGTCTCCAGTCCATCAGAGGACACAAGGAATTACCAAATGAAAACACAACATTACACAAGAGTCACAAACACTGAGAACAAACAATAACCAGAATAAATTTTACAATATTCACAAAAAAACAAGTTAAAAAAATCAAAAGATTCAGATCCTGATGATACCAGAGACATATTAGTTATAATGGTAACAGAAACTGGTCCCACACGTGTTTTATTAGCACCTTAGCTCATATATTTTTACAGTTTAAATGTCTTCTAGTTTGTTCAACTCTTCTTACTTTTGTTAGATGTTTGTTTTTCCAGCTTCTTCAGTTCCTTGTGATACTAACAAGGAGCTTTAGCTGCTCATCAGTCCGAGGCATCCACTGCCTGATCGTTTTCTTTTTATCTTTGTGATGCGCTGTACACTTCTGCAGGCAGGCCGGTCAGCCTCACTGCACGGAGCCACACTGGAGGCCTGGGATGGCTCTCATCAAATGTTCAAGCATCTACCGGGACTCCACTGCTCCCTGCAGGAGAGGCACCTCACGCGTGTTAAAGTCATGCCGTCTCCCTGCACGCAGCACACGTGATGGTGTTTGCATCTTTGTCTAATAACAGTCTGGATAGTTTCTCTTATAAGAAAGAAGATTAGGACGTTTTTTCCTAACCCAACATGTCAAGTCAACTTTATTTATAGAGCACATTTAAAACAGAACCTGTTATCAAAGTGCTTAACAACAACAACAACAATCAATGAGAGTAAAATTAAAGAGAAAAAAAATATATATATACAATACACTAATAATAACTGAAGAATTAATAAAAAAACATTTAAAACATAGGGTCACAGATTAAAAAAACACTAGATCAATTTACAATGTATGAAATGTCTGAGAGAACAGATGTGTTTTTAGCAGAGATTTGAAGTGAGGAAGGGAGGTGGTCTGCCTCATGTTGGGGGGGCAGGTTGAAGGGAGGTGGTCTGCCTGATGTTGGGGGGGGGGGGGGGGGGGCAGGTTGAAGGGAGGTGGTCTGCCTGATGTTGGGGGGCAGGTTGTTCCAGAGTTTGGGGCCCATGACTGAAAAAGCCCGATCTCCTCTGAGCTTCTTGTTTTTGGAACAGCCAATAGCAGCTGATCAGATGATCTCAGGGCCCGAGAGGGAACGTAAGGTTCCAGAAGCTCAGAGAGGCGAAGGGGTGCAAGACCATTTAGGCATTCTAGTTCTGGGTTCTGGTTCAGAGTTCTGGTTAAAAGCCGAGCAGCAGCATTCTGGACGAGCTGAAGACGTGAGATGGAGGCCTGGCTGATCCCAGCACAGAGTGTGTTGCAATAGTCCAATCGGGTTGTGACAAAGGCGTGGACTAGTTTCTCAAGGTCGGGTCTGGACAACACTGGCTTGAGTTTAGCTACCTGTCTGAGTTGGAAGAAGCTTTTCTGCAGAACAGAGTTGATTTGTTTGTCAAACTTGAAGTCAGAGTCTAAAACCTTCCAAAGATTTTTACCAGACTGCTTCAGATATGGCTGAAGAGAGTCCAGGTTGACAGAATCAGTGGCGGCAGTTGAGCTAGGGCTAAAGACAATGACTTCAGTCTTCTCATTGTTAAAACTTAAGAAATTTGAAGCCATCCAGGCCTTAATGTCATCCAGACATTTTAACAGAGGGTGAATGGAGCAAACACTTGCTGGTTTCACAGGCAGGTAGATCTGACAGTCATCAGCATAGCAATGGGATGAAAGACCATGTTTCCTCAGGATGGACCCCAGTGGGAGCAAATAATGTGAGAACAGAAGGGGTCCAAGAATTGAACCTTGTGGGACCCCGCAAGAAAGAGGTAATGAGGCGGATACATTATTACCAACCTTGACACAGAAACTCCTGCCACTCAGGTATGAGCGGAACCATTCTAATGCAGCACCTGTGATCCCAACACACTGTTCCAGCCGTGATATAAGGATACTGTGGTCAACAGTATCAAAAGCAGCAGTAAGGTCCAGGAGCACAAGTACCACAAACTGACCAGAATTGTTTGATATCATAATATCGTTACAAACCCTGTGGATTCATCTATCTATAAAACACGTTGTTTTCATTTGAGATGCCTTCATCTGCATTTCTCTGACTGGTATGTAGCTCTGTTTGATTTGAGAGCCTCACAATCTTATCGTTACATTTCTTGTTGAGATGACAGCAGGTTTTCATGAAGTGCTGTCTGAGGGGTTGAAAGTCCTGAGATGTTGGATTTCAGACATCAACATTTGTTCAGACTCCATTAAAGTTTTCACAACATAAAGATACTGAAGACTCACATTCTCTTGAATTTTGAATTTAGAAACACTTTGTTGAACTGATCTGTGATTGTTTAACAGTTAGCATTAGCATGGTTTGGTGGCTCCAGCTGCAGTGCATGATGGTCCTTTTGGACCAGTGATGAATTCTATATACTTTATACCTCGAGACCAGCTCTGCAGTGCACGGTTGATCACTCTGAAATGATGTCACAGTTTGTGTGCACACAGTGGATCCACCAGTTTTAAAGAGAAGCTCCACATGTCAAGGACAGAGAACACAGAGGGACTGGCACCAATGAGGGACTGTCACCAGTGAGGGACTGTCACCAGTGAGGGACTGGCA